CCGTCTTCTTGTCTCTGGTCTTCCCAAGTCTCTGCCTCCCCTCCCGCCCTCGCCTGCCCTGCCCTGCCTTCCTTGTGTCAAGGGGCGGCAGCGCGCCGCTCCTCACTCCTCCTCGTTTCCCCCGACGACTGCTTCCCTGCAGACTCTCCACATGGACGTGTGGGGCCCAGCTCGCGTCAGTGGACAGGGCCGCGAGCGCTACTTTCTGATAGTAGTTGATGACTACACGCGGTACACCACAGTCTTCCCCTTGCGCAGCAAGGGTGAGGTCGTTGATGTCTTGATCCCTTGGATCCGCACAGTTTGTCTCCAGCTCCGCGAGCGGTTTGGCGAGGACCTTCCTGTCCTGCGTCTGCACTCTGACAGAGGTGGTGAGTTCTCCTCCAACCTCTTGCGGGAATTTTGTCGTGGGGAGGGCATTCTCCAGTCCTTCACGCTTCTGGACTCCCCTCAGCAAAATGGGATTGCTGAGCGCCGCATTGGCTTAGTCATGGAGGTCGCTCGTACCTCCATGATCCATGCGGCTGCTCCCAATTTTCTGTGGCCGTTTGCGGTCCGGTACGCTGCGCATCAGCTCAACCTCTGGCCCCGTGTCTCCTTGCCGGAGACCTCTCCCACACTGCGTTGGACGGGGAAGGTTGGCGATGCGTCGGTGTTCCGGGTCTGGGGTTCTCGTGCCTTTGTTCGCGATACGTCCGCGGACAAGCTCTCCGCCCGCGCCATTCACTGCGTCTTCCTTGGCTTTGTCCCTGACGCGCCAAGCTGGCAGTTTTACCACCCCACCTCGCACCGTGTCCTCCCTTCTCAGGTTGTCACATTTGACGAGTCGGTTCCCTTTTACCGTCTCTTCCCCTACCACTCTGCCCCTCCCACGCCCCCACCGCTCTTCCTTGCTCCCGGTCCCCCTCCGGTAGACCCCCTCCCACCCGAGGGTCCTGCTCCCTCCGGTGTGTCTCAGGTAGATCCTCTCCCTAGTACTGCGCCTGTCGAGGTAGCTGTCGGCTCAGGTGCTGCTCGAGGTGCTGCGTCTGGGGGTGCTGCGTCTGGGGGTGCGGAGCCGGGGGGTGCGAGGTCTGAGGGTGCTGGGTCTGGGGGTGCTGAGCCTGGGGGTGAGGAGCCTAGGGGTGCTGAGCCTGAGGGTGTTGAGCCTGGGGGTGCTGAGTCGGAGGGTGCGGAGTCTGGGGGTGCTGAGCCTCGGGGTGCTGCTTCGTCTGGAGGTCCTGCTAGTGCTTCGCCACGACTGTCTCCGCAGCAGCTGCGTGAGTGGCTTGTTCGGCACGCACGCCTTCGGAGTGGAGCTACCGGAGCTGGAGGCGCTGGAGACGCTGGAGCTGGAGGTGCTGGAGTTACTGCTGGAGCTAGTGGTGCTGGAGGTACTGCGGCTGCTGGTCCTGCAGGTGCTCGTACCAGGGGTGCTGGAGCTGTCGAGACTGGTGGTGTTGGGGGCGCTGGAGCTGGAAACCCTACGGAGCCTAGAACTGCTGGAGCTGGAGGCTCTTGCGCTGGTGGCGCCGGAGCTGGAGGAGATGGAGTTGGAGGCACTGGCGCGGGAGGTGCTGGAGCTGCGGGAGCTGGAGCTGTTGACCCTGGAGCTGGGGGTGCTGGAGGCACTGTGCGGCCGCGACCGTACTTCGTTCCCCTGCTTCAGCAGGTTCTTGGTGTTCCGTCTTCTCCTAGCCTTACTCCTCCCCTCATGTGTCCATCGCCCGACCAGTCGCAGCCGCCGTTACTGTCAGCCTCCCCACTGCCTGTTCCTTCTCCTTACACTGAGCAGTCCGACAGTCTTAGAGAGCGTGGTGAGCCTGCGTCTCGTCCTGTCTTGCCTGTTCGCACTGCTCGTCGCGTTCCTCGTTCACGTCCTCCTCCTGTCCCTGGCATGCACGCTATGGCGCTCCGTCCTTCCTCTGTTCCACTGCGTGTTCCTCTGCCTGCTCCTCCCGAGTCCTCTCTTCCTGCCGTCCCTGGCCCTGAGTCTGACCGCGCTTGTGCTGCCAGTCCCACTGTCTCTCGTCTCCTTGCCATTGCTGTCTCTGACCCTTCTTTTGAGTCTGCTGTTGCGTCTGCTCTCGTTGCTGAGCTTCTTGACTTTGCAGCTGCCTGCCGTCTAGACTACGCCACTGCTCTTGTTGCTGAGTCTGCGTCTGCCAGTCCTCCGTCCGTTGGGGGTGAGTGTGCTCTTGGCACGGACGTCCTTGAGGACAGGCAGGAGGACTTTGAGTGTCTTGCAGCTGCTTTACCTCGTTTCGCTTCCATGCTGCTTGCCCCTGAAGGAGACCCGGATGCACCAGACATCCCGACCCCGCGCTCTTACGCAGAGGCAATTATGGGTCCTTACTCCTCTCAGTTACAGACAGCCATGGATGCCGAGATTGCATCCTAGAAGTCCACAGGCACCTACGTCGACGAGGTTCCCCCACCTGGGGCGAACATAGTCTCTAGCATGTGGATCTTCAGGGTGAAGCGGCCGCCGGGTTCTCCGCCTGCCTTCAAGGCGCGTTACGTTGCTCGAGGCTTCAGTCAGCGACAAGGAGTTGACTACTTCCAGACCTTCCCCCCCATCCCGAAGATGACTACTCTTCGGGTGTTGCTGCACCTCGCTGCTCGGCGTGACTACGAGTTGCACTCTCTACACAAGGAGATCTGGCTGTGCGCCCTCCTAGCTTCACTGGGTCGTTTCCTGCAGGTACCCAGTGGAGCCTCCGCCGGCCAGTCTACTGTCTCCGCCAGGCGCCTCGCGACTGGCACGACACGCTGAGGACTACACTTGCGGCTCTTGGGTTTGCTCCTTCTACTGCTGACCCGTCGCTGTTTCTCCGCACCGAAACCTCGCTGCCGCCGTTCTACGTCCTCATGTACGTAGACGACGTCATCTTTGCCACTGCTGACACTGAGGCACTGACCCTTGTGAAGTCCGAACTGCAGAAGAGACACACCTGCACTGACCTGGATGAACTGCGCAGCTATCTTGGCTTGCAGATCACCCGGGACAGAGCACGGCGCACCATTACCCTGACTCAGTCACATATGGTGCACCAGGTCCTTCAGCGCTTCGGCTTCCAGTTCTCCTCGCCACAGCCCACTCCTCTGTTTACAGGCCACTTGCTCTCAGCTCCACCTTCGGACGAGTCCGTAGAGCCGAGTGGTCCGTACCAAGAGCTTGTGGGTTGCCTCATGTACCTGATGACGTGCACACGACCTGACCTCGCGTACCCTCTCAGCCTTCTGGCTCGCTACGTGGCTCCCGGTAGGCACCGAAAGGTGCACTGGGATGCTGCGAGGAGGGTACTGCGTTATGTGTGCAGTACGTCGGGCATGGGGCTCGTGCTTGGAGGACGGGGTCCAGTTGTCCTCACAGGTCATGTAGACGCTTCTTGGGTTGACGACTCAGCTACGGAGCGGTCGTCATAGGGTTACACCTTCAGCCTTGGTTCCGGCTCTTTTTCCTGGCGGTCTAACCGCTCGTCTTCGGTTCTCAGCTCCAGTTGTGAGGCTGAGATCTACTCAGGGGCCATGGCTGCACAGGAGCTATGCTGGCTCACCTACCTGCTGACCGACTTGGGAGAGCAGCCTCGTTTGCCTCCAGTTCTGTACGTAGACAACAAGGCCATGATTGCCTTGTGTCAGGAGCACAGACTGGAGCACATAACGAAGCACATCGCTCTGCGATACTTCCTTGCTCGAGAGTTGCAGCAGCGTGGCCAGCTTCATCTTGCGTACGTGGCCACTAGGGCCAACACTGCTGATATATTCACCAAGGCACTTCTGCCTGGTGATCATCAGTGCTTCTCTACTGTGTTAGGCATTGTGCCTACTTTGCCTCACTTGCTTACTGCGTGACTTTGCTTGTACGGTGATCTATATATATATCTGCATGCTTGCACTTGCTAGGGTATGATCACTGTATTGTTTCTTCTCTTTTATTTAACTCTGCATGTGAACTGGCCTTGTGGCCCTTTGCTTGTGCTCGGACTGTGTGGTGACTTTGTGATCCACCCTGAGCTTGCTTTGCTTTTCTTGACTGGTCTTGTGACCACTTGTTCTCCCCCACTTTGCCTATGGGGGTGTGTCAAACTTATATATAGCTTACATTGTGTAGGCTGTAGTGGGGTAGCCCATAAGGGGTACAACCCAATTAGGGTTAGTACTTGTACCCAACTCTTTCCTAGTTCATCCATTCTCGTTTGTTCTTTCTGACACAAAAGCATCAGGCGGAGGCTTCGGTGCTGCTTCGGAGGTCTGCTGACGGGGCGATTGGTTGAGTACGATGACATCCTTGTCCTCGTCGGACTTGCCGACGGTCTGACGGGCACGCGACCGCGGGGATGCTACCGGGCTGCCGACATGTCCTCCCACCGAAGAAGGAGGAACCGAGCGCTCATGAACTCGACGCTCAACCCCGCTGCGAACACCTGCCACCCCCTCCTCCTGACGCGACCTCGTCGACGGGCCCGCCGAGCCCCGAAACCCTCTCGCCATCACTTCGGTGAGGACTTCCAATCTTGTCAGAGGTCCACTGGTGATCCCCGATTGATCCTAGGGAAGGGCTACATGCATGTTGGCCTGGGGGGTTATGGGCGCACTGACCCGCTACTTAACAAGCCCTTTTATCCCAATGGTCTAGTGGTTGGGATTCTGACATGGTATCAGAGCGGTCTCGGGTTTGAATCCCAGTGTGTGCACTTCGGGCATCCCAGTGCGGGAGGGTGTCAGAGGTCCACTGGTGATCCCCGATTGATCCTAGGGAAGGGTTACAGGCATGTTGGCCTGGGGGGTTATGGGCGCACTGACCCGCTACTTAACAAGCCCTTTTATCCCAATGGTCTAGTGGTTGGGATTCTGACAAATCTGCCAGCTTCAGCTTCTTGGTATCTTTCTCTCACAACGTCCTTCAGCTCCTTCATGCTCTCGGACGGGAGGGTGGAGTAGAACAAGTCCTCCTTGACGGCTTTCTCAATACCCTTCACGACCGAAGCAACCAGCCGCTCCTCGACAAGCTTGAGCTACTTCTCGACTGCGTCCTCGCTCGCTTTTGTGATAGCGGCTGCCACCCCCTCGATGATTTTCCCGCTCATCTCGTCGAGCTTCGAGCGTGCCCCTTCCAACAGCTTCCTCTCCTCCATGACACCGTTTACGGCATCGCCGCACTGCTTCAGCATGCTCTTCGACAACTCCGAAATCATATTCCAGGCCGTCCGAAAATCCCCAGCAAGCTTGTTGAAAAGAGCGGCTTGCTCACTGTGCTTTGCAAATACGTCGGCGACGAGCTTCTTCTGCGACGCCTCGACCTCCGCGACCCTCTGCAGTAGCTCGACGACCTGGCCTCCGGATGCAATGGCCGACGTCGAATGGCCTGCCGTCGAAGGGCCCGCCTGTCCGCTGCCACTGGCCGTGCCGTGCGGTGGCTCCTGCGCAGCCTCCCCGCCCTCCTGCTCCTGCCCTCCCGCTCCACCCTCCTGCGCAGCCACCACGCCCTCCTGCTGCTGCCCTCCGACCCCACCCTCATGCGCAGCCACCCCTCCCTCCTTCTGCTGCACTCCTGTCCCAAAATCCTGCCTAGCCGCTCCGCCCTCCTGCTCTTCGACATCCCAATCGTCCCCCGTCGCCTGTTGCTCGTCCACCCGCTCCCCGAGCGCCACTCCGTGCTTCTCCGTACGCTTAGTCCTACCTGGATGTAACCCTAAACCCTCGCCGTCGTGCTCGATGGACTCATCGCTCGAGCTCGAGCCGGAGCTCGATTCCGAGCTCGAGCCCTCCTGCTCATCCGCATTGCCGCCCGGGCCGCTCACCCTATGCTGAGCTTGCCTCGATGTATCCTCCTCGATCTCCTCCTCCTCCTCGTAGCTGTAACCACGACGCGTGGCGCCCCCTCGCCTCCTCCCTCGTGTCCGGCACCCGCTCCCACTCCTACTCCCTCCGCCGCCTCGTCCATCCTTTTCCAAAACAGTTTGAGCATGAACGACGGAAGCAAACCTAGGCCAGGGCTCGTTCTCCCGAGCATCACGAGGTCGCCCTGTCGAGGCTGCAGGATGAAATTGTCCCAGTTTGACAGAATCCGGCGCACCCCATGCACGACACGAGCTACCGCGCCGGGTTCACTGGGGCTCATCAGGGCCATCGTTGTCTGCGACGGGTATAAAACACACGTAAGCGACAAAACAAATATGCTCGACGAAAACATGCACAGATAAGGGTAAGGGTTGGCTTACCAAATGATCGAAACTCGTGATCATGTCCAGACGCAGGTCGATGAGGCTAAGCACCTCCTGCTCGTGCTCGGTCACAACCCGCTGGGTCGTCGCGTACTTGGCGCGAAGCTGCTTCTTCATCCAACTGCAAAGCAATGGACAGGAGAGTAAGAGATTGTCGAGAACGGCAAGTCGACAGCAGGGTGGCAAATCGTGTCAGAATATGGAACGAATGAATGAAACAGAAAAAGGGGGGTTTCACTAGCAGGCAGTTGAGTACATATAGCAAACCCTAAATTGGGCTGTACTCACTATTGAGTACCCCACTACAGGCTAGACAAATATAACATTCTGACACACCCCCATAGCCAAAGTGGGGTGTAATCAGCACAACAAGCAAAGCAAAACAAACTCAGGGTGGATCACGACGTCACCACACATTCTGAGCACAAGTACAAGAAGCAGCAGTTTATAGTTCACAAATATAAGCAAAGCTAGAGGCAGTCACAGACGGTAAGTGAGGAGGAGGAGTCTGGACTGACAGGAGAGGAGATAGGAGGCGACGGCTGAAGCTGCAGACACACGGGCAACAGGAGCGGCGCGCACAGTGGCTACCGGAGCAAAGGCCCCGAACTACAGGAGTAGCTGGCTCTGCGGCTAACTCTGAGCGGCAGGAGCAACGGACCCACGGGCGACAGGCACAGCAGGCTCTCTGAGCTACCAGCAGCAAAGGCCCCGGACTACAGCTGTTGCGGGCGACAAGACGGCTGCCTCCGCCCAACATCCCCAAACTGTCCCACCCCCCTTTCACACACCCCCTGCTGCACCCCTAGTTTCACTCCCACGACACACCCCCCTAGTGCCACTCCTTCGTCTCCCACACACCCACCCCCCTCAGCGGCAGCTGCAGCAGTGGGAGACGGAGGAGGAGGAGGAGGGGACAGTGCACATACCCGCCACCCCCAGACCCGCCACCCCAAAGGTGCACGAGGACAGGAGGCGGCGAGGTGCGGCTCGCGGGCTGCAGGGGTGGCACGCGGGCTGCTGAAGGGGCAGCGCGGGCTGTAGAAGGGGCAACGCGGGCCCCCGAGGGCGCCACAACGGGCGACGGGACGGGGGGGGGGGGGGGGGCGCGCGCTGGCCCCCGAGGGCGCCACGACGGGCGACTGGGGTGGGGGCCGCGCAGGCCCCCGAGGGCGCCACGACGGGCGTCAGGAGGGGGCCGCGCGCTGGCCCCCGAGGGCGCCACGATGGGCGTCAGGAGGGGGCCGCGCGCTGGCCCCCGAGGGCGCCTCGACGGGCGACGGGAGGGAGCCGCGCGCGGGCCCCCGAGGGCGCCACGTCGGGCGACGGAAAGGGGGGCCGCGCGGGCCCCCGATGGCGCCACGACGGGGGACGGGAGGGCCGCGCACGAGCCCCCGGGGCGCCGCGACGGGCGACGAAACCGCCGCACGCCCCGAGGCGCGCGACGGGCAGGGCACTGTCGCGCGCTACGGGGCGCACGACGGGCAGAACAGGGCGCCGCGCTGCCCCCAGGGCGGCGTGACGGGCAGAAAACCGCCGCGCGCCCCGAGCGCACGGCGGGAAGAAAAAGTGCCGCGCGCCATGAGCGCGCGGCAGGCAGGAAAACAGTGCGCGCCCGAGGCGCGCGATAGGCAAGACAGCAGCAGCGGAAGCTTAACGGTGGGCCCATGCACAGGATCGACCCGGGAGGGTCGACCTGCTCTGATACCATGTCAGAATATGGAACGAATGAATGAAACAGAAAAAGGGGGGTTTCACTAGCAGGCAGTTGAGTACATATAGCAAACCCAAAATTGGGCTGTACTCACTATTGAGTACCCCACTGCAGGCTAGACAAATATAACATTCTGACAAATCGGTCACTCACACGACAACTTCATGCGCCAGCGAAGATTGGTGGTTCACCGCAGGAAACCAGTCTTTCGAATCGAAGTGCATCATTCGAGTTCGACAGCCATGGTGCCTCGGAGCCAGCAGATCGTCGAGGCGGGATACCACAAACAGGCTCGAGTGGGAGAACGGCGCCACAGTCAGGCTGCATGCCGAGCGAATGCACGTGAGCACGGGTTTAGTACTAAACACGGAGCACGCGAGGCGATGGGATAGTGTCGAACTCACGTGGTCCGCAGGAAAACGAGAATCAATTGCTTGCCGAGCAGGCCGTCGAGGTGGTTGTTCGTAAAAGCGACCGGTGTGGGACACGCCATCTCTTCATGCGCACGCGTTGAAGTCACGATCGACAGCTTGGCGAGCTACTCGACGGACAGCAGCTCCCTCGAAAACATGCTGCACAGAAAGCTAAGGCACAGTCAGCGACAGGTAAACATGGCAAACTGAAAATGCTCGACAGGAAACGTACACAACGCCCGCGTTCATCATCGTCTCGTCGAGCTCCGCCTTCGGCACCTCGCTAAGCGCATTCAACTGGTCTTCGAACACCTCCACATCGTTCCGCCTGCGGTTAGGATGAGGCCGCGTCGAACCGTCGGCTCGTTCACGATGGGTAGGGAGGCGGGGCCCGTAGCCATGACATGCTTAGCAGTAGGGAGGGCGGGAGCGTAGAGAAGTTGGGAACTAGGGAGTAGGGAAGAAAAACTCGGAGACTGCAACAAAATGAGAACACACTCAGCGTATTTGCTGTTTGCCATCCCCTCCACCGAGACAGACTCGGGTGCAAGGGCAAGGGCGACGAGGCAGGGCGTGTTCCGCGACGGCGGTAGGAGGAGCTTATGGCAGAGGGCGGCGGGGCCCTATATTACTGGTTGGTTGCATGAGGTCGGGCGCCCTGCATGCAGCTGAAAGGCCCCTCTCAAGGAGCGGGAGGGGGCGTTCGACACATCACCAGGGTCGAGCGCCAACCGAAACGGGCCCCGTCGAGGGCGAGAGCGGTGGAGCGCGGCGCAGATGGGCGTCGCTTCCATCCGCTCGCGAGAATTCGCGGACGGAACCGAGGCGACGCCCGGCGAGGGTTCCGTGGGTTACCGGACGGAACCCGTCTACGAACCGAGGTTGGGGTTCGGTTCGGTTGGGGGGGACCGCTGGCAGCTGGCGCCAGCTGGGGGTGCCCGTTTTCGGGCGGGGGGGGGGCGGCTCCCGCCCCTCGCGTGCTTCGCTAGGCGACTGCGGGAAAACATAAATCCCTCCAGGGAAATCCTGCAGGGGCAAAGGGGGGGGATCGGAGGGATTCGCCTGATATCTTCCCTTAGTGTCCTCGCGATGGCCGCATGCATCTTGAGCCTTAGTGAGAGACTCGATTTTTTTACTGTCTCTACACATTCACCTGAGTTTGAGGCGCCGATTGACAGTTTCCTGGCGTTCTCTTATGGGAGAATCGATAGTTCGTATGAGCGCGAACCTCATGATAGTTGCTCGTACGACCGGCAATCTCGGATGCGGAGCGTCCTCCCAAGGTCACGCGCACAGCAGCCCATAGCGTAATCGCGTCGCCACGCTAACAATCCTCCGGGGCCGCGCTAACACCCCTCCGTCGCCACGCTAACACCCCTCCCTCGCCACGCTAACACCCCTCCCTCGCCACGCTAACACCCCTCCGTCGCCCACGCGCACTCCCCTCCGTCGCAAACGCGCATTCCTTCCGTCGCCCACGCTCACTCCCCTCCGTCGCCCATGCTCACTCCCCTCCGTCGCCGACGCGCACTCAGTTCAGTCGCACACGCGCATTCCCCTCCGTGGCCACGCTCAAATCCCTCCGTCGCCCACGCGCACTCCCCTCCGTCACCCACGCGCACTCCCCTCCGTCACCCACGCGCACTCCCCTCCGTCGCGAACGCGCATTCCCTCCGTCGCCCACCCTCACTTCCCGATTGTCGCAGACGCGCACTCCCCTCCGTCACACACGCACATTCCCTTCGTTGCCCATCCTCACCCCCCTCCATCGCAAACGCGCACTCCCCTTCGTCGCACATGCTCGCCCGTGCTCACCTTGTTTTCCACACGTCCTCTCCCCATCTCCGCCTCACCTCATCCCCACCTCACCCCATCTCCGCCTCACCCCATCTCCGCCTCACCCCATCTCCCCCTCATCCCGTCTCCACCTCACCTCATCTCCGCCTCACCTCCTTTTCATCCCATCTCCGCCTCACATCATCCCCACCTCACCCCATCTCCACCTCACATCATCTCCGCCCCATCCCATCTCCGCCTCACCACATCTCCGCCTCACCTCATCTCCTCCTCATCCCATCTCCCCCTCATCCCATCTCCGCCTCACTTCATCTCCACCTCATCCCATCTCCCCCTCATCCCATCTCCGCCTCACCTCATCTCCTCCTCATCCCATCTCCGCCTCACCTCATCTCCGCCTCACCCCATCTCCGCCTCACCCCATCTCCGCCGCACCCCATCTCCCCCTCACATCATCTCCGCCCCATCCTCATCTCCATCTCACCCCATCTCCATCTCACCTCATCCCCACCTCACCCCATCTCCGCCTCACCCCATCTCCGCCTCACCCCATCTCCGCCTCATCCCATCTCCCCCTCACCTCATCTCCATCTCACCCCATCTCCGCCTCACCCCATCTCCGCCTCATCCCATCTCCCCCTCACCTCATCTCCATCTCACCTCATCTCCGCCGCACCCCATCTCCCCCTCACATCATCTCCGCCCCATCCCATCTCCGCCGCATCTCTGCTCCCGTCGCTTCTCTCCATCCCTCCTCTACCCATCCCTCCTCTACCCATCCCTCCGTTGACCCCACCCCTCCTCTCCCCATATCTCCTTTCCCCATCCCTCCACTCCTGATCCCGCCGCTTCCCATCCCTCCTCTTCCAATTCCTCTTCTCCCAATTCCTCCTCTTCCAATTCCTCCTCTCCCAATTCCTCCCTTCCCACACTCGTCCGCCCCCCATCCATCCTGTCCCCATCCGTCATCTCCCATCCCTCCCTGGCATCCCTCCTCTCTGCATCGTTCTGACCCCATCCATCCTTTCCCCATCCCTAATGTCTCCATCCCTCCTTAACACCATCCCCTCAGGTTTGGGGCACTGTGGACGGACGGCGTCGGCCAGATTTGCCCAGCAGTGATGGATGTGGTGCTGCTGAAGTGGACTGCCAATGACTGGTCCGCCTGGCAGCCCCAAAAGTTTTTGCTGCCCCACGCACTCCTAGGTGTCAATGAAAGGCGACACCCTGTGTGCAACATTTCCTCCCCATCGCTACTGCTTGCAACCATGAAATTTCAACTGTTTCGCGCATAGGTAGAGGTTGGCTGCACTCAATGGCCCATCGTACATTGGCTAGTATGCAGGGATTGCCTTTGTGCATTTGTGTGTAACTTTATTGCTTTGATTCCATTGGGTGTAATGGTACATGCTACAAAATAGTTGATGTCCGCGTCCAATAAAGATGTCACAGGACAACGCAGTCAATCACAGGTTGGTAAAAAACAATGAAACTTGCGTTCGATGGACCGAACGTGCTGGGTCAATAAGAATACCTAAAAAGGGGAGAGAAGTGTGTGTGTTTGTGTGCACATGTTCAAAGCGGCCGATGAGATGCGGGAGGCATATAAGGACGGGCCGAGCGTCCAAGGGGCTATAGGCTGCTTTTCCCGTGGCCGTTGCCATGCTCCCTTGCCATTCACATTGCCGTCACTGGCTATCTCCGCCCAGGTTGCTTGCTTTTATGTGACCTGTGAGGCGCAGACGGTATGAAGTTGGGAAGGCATCCCACCTGCATCACAAGCAATGTGATGTGGGAATGCAGGGTGTGGGCTGTAGGAGGATGAGGATGAAGAGTGTGGGATGTAGTAGGAAGGTGGCTCGGTATGTGTCCTGCTTGGTGCAGGTGGTAGCATGTGCGGAGGGGGATGCACCCCACCTGCAAGAGAAGCTTGAATTGAAAGCACAGGGGTATGAGAACAAGGGTGGGCTGGACAAGGGCGCAGTAACGTATAAGACATATTCAGGTTCAGAAAAAAGAGTGGAGTGAGTGATAAGGGTGGCCAAATTGGCAGTATGCCTAGTATCTATGGGGCATGCATATGGGTGGAGGGGTGATGGCAAGGAAGGAATGGGAAGGCAAGGCATGCAGACAGTGCAGCTGAGAGCAGGGAAAGTGAGACCCATTAGCTGGTGCAGATGAGGCAGAGCATATTACCTGGTGAGGCGCTGGGTCTGTGAAAGCCATTGCAAGCGAGAGGCGGGCCTGCTACAAGACCCGGGTGCATTGACCTTGTGGATGCCGAATAGGGTCTTGTTGGGGCCACCCTCGCTCAACCCCCCCCCTGCCCGTGCAATGTCGCCTCCTCTCCTGCATTTGGGGTGGGTATAGATAAAAATAGTTATACAATGTATCTGCATCATGTATCCCACAAATGACTTTAGGCATGGAGTTTTTCCCAACAAGGCAATTTCCAACTCACTGAGTATGCTGCGACGTGCTTCACGCCCTCTAGAACGGGTCGACAGATGCAATGGCCCAATCACAATCGGGGTTACCGGTTGTGATACTCCAGAGCCGTCCCCACCTCCCGCTGAGGTCTCCGGCAAAGGTGAGGATGGAGCCGGTGGTGAAGCGTGCCCGTTCGTATCTTGTTCTGCCCCTGTTTCCGCTCCCTCGGCAAATCCTCCAACACTCTCGAATTCTTCCCCAAACGGGTGTCGCCACTCCCTCAAGATGTCGTCGACCCTACTCCAATCCATTGAACCAAGCACCCTATCCCTCCGCCCTCGTCTAACTCGCGTCGTCTGTCCGGCGCGCGTAACATACGCTCGCACAACACGATCCAGCGTGTTATTCCGATCGAGAGCAGCCATAGCTATGCGCGGAGGATGGCTACGTGAAAAGCGAATGTGTTTCGGTGCATATTTTAGAATCAGTGAGTGGAAAGACTCGTTCATGGAATTGGTTGCGCCCTCCACTATACACGCAACCTTGGATGGACTGAAGTGCCTTTCTAACCACTCCTTCACCGCGATATGAGTCCGTGAGTTAGGTTGATATACCGCCTCCGCCTCACCCCAATTTTCTGTCACACATCTTGGCGCACACGTTCCACCCCTCCTGCATCGTGAGTGAAGGCCAGCAAAGTGATCCGCTACCAGACACAAAACTTCCGAAACATCTTCGGCCGACTGCGGGTTCCCTGCTTGGGCGCACACTCCGCAACACATCATGCTATGGTAGAAGTGCACAGCAAGACGGTCAGTAACAGTGGACGCCTTCACCCTAGCCCCTATCTCACTCTCATTGGTCACCTCTCCAGCTGCCCCGTTTTGTGTTCGCCTGCGTGGTGCGCGCCGTCCCCACCTCCTGTGGATCGGTTCGTTCCTGCCATTCTCCATGTCGTTGCCGTCGTCCTGTCTGTCTGCTTGTTCTTCATTCCCGGCAGCGGTACCAGGCCTCGTCTCAGCCCCACTTTGTCCTTGATCACCTATGTTGGGATTGGCAAGGGTACAACGTCGGAGGTTTGTAGTGTGGAAACACAATCCCCAATGACTGTAGGGGTTAGGGAGGGTAAAGGCTTGAGGATGGAGGGATGGGGGGGACAGTGAGAAGAGAGCTTACTTCACCTTGTGTATTTACCTTGTCTGTCAGTGCCGTCGTCCTGCCTGTCTGCTTGTTCTTCGTTCCTGGCTGCGGTACCAGGCCTCGCCTCAGCCCCACTTTGTCCTTGGTCGCCTATGTTGGGATTAAGGTTGTAAAGGAAGAAGATGCACAATGGTATTACACATGACACTAGGCGCAGGTTGGTGACATAATGGAAGTGCATGAATAGCCCAGTAGAATGTAACCACTTGATTGCTGTAGGAAAGACGGAGGGTTGAGGCTAGAGGATGGAGGGATGGGGAGGGGAGCGAGAGGAGAGCTTACTCCATGTGTATTTACCTTGACCGTCAGTGTCGTCGTTCAGGAAATGAGCACGCGGCCGCCCCCCCCCCCCAAGCTTGCACGAGCACCAATGATGCAAGCGAGGATGGTCGAATACCATGTACTGGGCGCGCATCATAGCCCCACATCTCCTCCACATCTGCCCACTGTACTTCGATTACAGTTGCTCTGTCATTTATACCATCTGGTGTCCTCGCTGCACTGCCTCTGACCCCCCCGTGTACTCGAGATGCACGCATATGATCCGGCAGTGGTGCTTCTTCCACCTCAATGTCAACAGGTGCTGCAGTGCGATCAGGCTCCAGCACCACTTGCTGCAGCTCAGGGTGCAGCCATTTTGCATCTGCTACCTCCATATCCTTGAATGTTAAGGAACGCAACTGACACACTGCCTTTACAAGTACCTTCTTTCCGCTGCTCCTACCATAAGTAGACCCACGTGGCGAGTGCAACCTCAACCATGACACTAAGTTGTCCACATTAATTATATAAAGGTCCTCACATGTAGTAGCCTCATTCACAGAACCCACCTTCCTCGTTGCATCCTGTACCTCCGATCTGAAACTACGCATCTCTGTCGCGCACTTATGCCACCAGTCTATCTGATGTCTCAATCCTCTAACACGCGCCTCATTCTTGAAGCTACTTCCCTCATCCGTGATGATGTCGTTCACATTAAACCCCATACCAGCCAGCTCGTCCATACCCTGCTTAAAACCTTCTCGCTCGAGAAGTACTGCTACTCTCGCATCTCGAACTATCTTCGTGTTGCTAAGATGTGCGATTCTTCTTGTATCCCTATCCATGAATGACATGGTGCACCACTGTGCCTCGCGCACCTGTGACCACCGTCCATCTACACAAAACCATCAAGCCGAAAATGGACGCAGCAACATGTTTGCACGCACGTGCTCCATGTTCCGCCTCGCCACCTCAATAATCACACTCCATAGTACTGGCTGCAATAGCGGCTCAGCCAGTCATGGGCGCGATGTCGGTCCCTGCGGGTACCGGATCCTGACTGGCCTAGATGCTGGCACCACCTGCTGGAGTCCTGACCACTCTGCGTCCAGCTGCTACCGTCGATTCGACGACCTCCACCGTGAGCGTTTGGTCCTCATGCTATTACACCGCACTGGCCCTCGCGTCTACGCCAGCGCACTACTGCACCAGTTGAGTCTCACCTACCTGGTCTTGGACCTTTCCCGGCTGCACGAGTAGAGACCTGTGTTTCTAGTCTTGGTGCGTGCATTGTTTCCAGTCCAGGCGCCTCTGAAAGTCCTTATGTAGGAGCTGCAGCTATCACTAGTCCAGCACCAGCCTTTGTTGCTGGCTCGGGTGCGACCTCAGAGACTGCACAAATTTCCTCCACCCTAGACTCTGGAGCGTCCAGCTGTTTCTTTCGCGACTGTACTGACCTCACACCACTTTGCACTCCAATCACTGTCGCCTTGGCTGACCCTTCTGTGGGACTTGTAGTTGCCCGCGACACCACCAATCTCCCATGTCCCGCGGCTCCTTCTGGGTTTCTCACATGTTACTACACCCCCTCGTTTTCCAGGAACCTGGTGGGTGTCAGTCACCTCCACGACCTAGGTGTAGTCACTACTTTTCCACTGGACGAGCCTGTTGCCTCCCGCACAGTGTGTGCCACTGGGGCCCCTCTGGCCACTTTTCACAGGGAGCCGGGCTCTGGTTTGTACTCACTATACACTGGGTCCCACCACACTGGGTCAGGCCAGGTCAGGTCAGGTCAGGTAGCTGCTCTGTCGTGCGATTGTCGGTCCCTCACCCACCCGTCAGTCCTCTGGCACCTCCGTCTAGGTCACCCATCGTTCCCGCGTCTCCGTAGCATGGTACGTCACCGTCTGGTCTAAGGTCTCCCAGAGTCGCTAGCCCCGCTTCCTTGCTCGCCTGCGCCGCCGTGCACTCCTTGTGTTGAGGGTCGGCAGCGCGCTGACCCTCACTCATCCTCGTTTTCCCCCACCACGGCTCCTTTCCAGACCCTGCACTTGGACAACTGGGGCCACTCCTTGGTCCTTGGCCCACGTCAGGAGCGCTACTTCCTGATTGTGGTGGACGACTAATCCCGCTACACCTCGGTTTTCCCCTTGCGACGGAAGGCCGA